TTTCGCCCCTTCCCAAAATTACTTCAACGGAAGGTTTCCAGATGGATATGCCAGCAAATCCTTCTGGCGGAGTCAGGTTAATTAGAAACACCAAAGAACTCTAAAACCCTCTCTCACCACTGGGTTGAGAAAACAAGAAATAATCTTGCCTTGATGAATGAGAGCAAGCAGCTTAAATAGAAGCAGGAGCAGGTGGATCAAATGAGCTGTGATTAGAAACCGGGCAGAGTTAGACAGGTGAATGGAATGAGTAATTGAGCCAGTCATCAGTGCCAAGATCATGACATAACATTCCTAGACAGTTACCCAACAAAGAATGGCCAGAGAGAGACAGGGGAAGAGATAAGGCTAAGGTCAGGAATCTAACCAAGAAATGATATGTGGGGCTCCTGCTCTACTGCTCTAACACTCTGGGTTCAGTTTCAAATTATATATACAGTGCTGCAAAACAGCCTAAAGGTAAGGTTAAATTGCACTAAAAGCCTATTTAGCCCTGATAAAACAGTCATTGATTTAAATGTTTAATTCTCTATGTAGTGATTAGGATCTCATTTTTGAAATGTTAAAAGCTTGTGTTATTAAAAAGGTTCGGGTGCAGAAATGCTGGTTTCAGTATGAGCAATTTGAATCAATAGGAAATACCTTGAGAGAAATTATGCTAAAATGAAATCTCACTGTTTGAATTTGAGTGTTCTTCAACAGTTGTTTTTCCACAAATTAAATTTGGTTTGCAAATGATGGCATTTCATTCTGGCTGGGTGGCAGATAACAAGAGACCAATTTCACATGAGAATGATCTTCAAAGAAAAATGTGGTTTATTCCTCTTTTATTGCTTAACAGGACCTTTACCGGGATTACAGCACTATTCCAATTCCGGCTTACGGTTCTTAGTATACTTATCAGGAGCTTAGATATCAAAGTATTTCTTTCTTAGTGGCTGGCCTAAACCATTGGCTGAATTATTGTACAACAAACAGTTTTTTCTATTTTTTTTTGTTGTTTTTTTTTTATGTTCCAAAAGTGAGACCCTTTTAAATTGATGCGGATTTTCTCAAATTTTTAAAATGATCACCTGATGCAGTTTTAAACCAAACTAAAAATGTTTGACCACCAAAGCTGCCATGATGTTAAAACAGCTGGAAGACAAGTGTAGCTGTCCGTAGTACTTCCTCAACTGCTGTTTGCTGTTGAGAAAGCAGGTTCCCATTAAGTTCCAAAAAACTTTTAAAAAAAAAATAAACAACCCACTAGATTTTGTTTCCAAGTTTGAAGACATTTTGCTTCCCATACGGGAAGCTTTTTTAAATAAAAAATGTCAGAAATAGTGGTGAGTTTGAGGCTTTATAGAGTGCACCAAAAACAAAGCCTTATTTTGGCTTAGAAAACATCCAGACGAACAGGTCAGCCCCTTATGAATGGCCAGTCATTTGGGTTCTTAAGTTACCATTAAGCTTATGCAAAAGCATGATCTTAATTTAAAGGCTCTTTCTAAAAAAGTTTTAATAGAGGCTACTTCTTTTAGGGAAAAGGACAGAATATTGTCGTCCAACCACTAAGAAAGGTGCCTATATATCTTCTAGGGGAGCTTTCTTCTTATTGTCTTCCATGGCGCAGTTAGCGACCCATACAGAGATGAGGAAATGTCAGGTTTTTAAAGTAGGCAAAATACATTTTTTTTTAAAATAAAAATAGTCATACAGCATTATGCTGTTTAGTAAAAACATATATAATCTGCCAGAGGTACTAACTGGTAACTTCAACTTTTCCCTGTAGTGTCCTCCACCATTTCAAAAATAAAAAGGCTGTGACAGGGAGATTGATATTAAAGACAATAGGCATTATTAAACGGATTAGTTTTGAGACGTGATTTGAAATGGAGAAGAGAATTGTTATTATGATTAGTGGTAATTGTACTGCATTCTATGCTTAGGAGTCATTTTGGATATTGGATACTGTTCTGAATTTTCCAGTCAGAATTCCAACATAAAAAAATAAAAAAAATGTCAGTAATAAAAGGATCAGCCTTGACTAAAAAATAATTAAGTATGACCCATTTGTATGATAATATACTGCAGATGTTTCTATACAGAGGAAACAATTACTTAAAAATGCCTGTTTGTTTGTTTTCTCGATTGACTGATTTTTCATTTAGAGTTATTTGTGTTGTTTAGTTTTAATCTGTGTTATGGATTTACTCTCTAGTTTTTCTTTTTATATTTTTATACAATCATCTGAGGATAGTCATTGTAAATTAGCAAAGGCTTTAATCAGAATCAGACATCTTTTAATAATCCCAGAGGGAAATTATTTAAATAATCCCTGAGGGGAATTACTTTAAATCTTCAATTCCATTTCATAAGATTAACACTGATTAACTGTACTTAATACTATAAATACTATATAGTAGTACAAGAAAACTAACAAACTGAACTTGACATCTGCAGATATACGTTTTTTTATGAAATAGAAAATAAATGAATAGTTAGAAAATACAAAAATCAGTCTAATAGGAATTTTTCCACTATTATCCTCTAGCTTCTAAAAATAAGGGCAGCATTGCAAGAATGCCAGAGGAGGATGTATATGAGCAGTCCTCTGTGAGTTATGTTGCTTAGTGCACATAGAAAAGAAGTAAGTTGTTGGATTCAGTCCAAACTCTGTTATCAGCAACATCTGGAATCCATGACGGACTTTCACCCAGATTCCACACTAGCAGAATAATAAGGCCAGCAAGGCTTTTGGTGTTTATTCAACTCTTAAAACTGTAAGAAATCTGAGGGTAAGTTCATGTAACTAGCAGCTGTTGAAGATATAAATCATGTTCTTCCACATTTTTTTTCATACTGTATCCTTACCTTTAGTTTCCTCCTCCAGATGTATCTTAGCTCCTAGAGCATAGACTGTAATACTTCTACAGAACAATTTAAAATTGGTTTACTGATTGATTCCAAAAAAGTTAAAGAACAATCCACTGCCCTTTTTTTCCAAGTTTGAAGACGTTTTGCTTCCCATCCAGGAAGCTTTTTCAATTTAAATGTCAGGAATAACGTTGAGTTTGAGGCTATACACAGTAGCCTCAAACTACTGTTTAAAAAACATGCTAATTGAAACGGACAAGCGGGCTTTGCCTGCAAAGCTCCATACCTGCCTATTAGAGACTGACACGGGAGTGGATTATCACTCCTGTCCCGTCCCACTCCCACAGAAAAAAATTATGTCCAGTCCCGATCCCGGAAGTAGAAATCTAAATCCTGTCCCGTCCCACTCCTGGTGAAATTACTCCCACTCCCATCCCGCTCCCATTCAGAATGACTCCCGCTCCTGCACCACTCCCATTCTTGTTTTCTTCAATAAGATTTCTGCCAATACTCTGGCTGCGTCTCAATTCGCAGCCAGCTATTGAATCTGAATTTGTTGTTTTTGAGCGCGGGTGAAAAACTCAGAGCGTAAGCACTGTTGGTTTTTGGGTCGTGTCATTTTTTTGACTCGCATTATAGTGAAGGCTTCAAGGAAAAAAACTACAAAATGGCGGCGCCAGTACTGGATTTTTTTTCTTTCTATTTTATTTAATTTTTTGCCATAGATTCTAGTTTTCGGTTTGCTCCCACTCCCGTCTGCTCCCGTTAATGTTTAATCCTGTACCGTCCCAATCACGTGACCGTTACTAATACTGACTCCCATCCCACGGGAATCCCGTAACCCGTGGGATTCCCGAAAAAATGTCAGTCTCTACTGTCTATGTCTCTAAAAGGGGGAGGCTAAGGGGAATTGCTGACCTGGTTGAATAGAGGAGGGGTCTTTTCTAAACAAAAACAAGGGTTTATTGGGCTACTGTATAAAGCCTGGAACTCATCACTATTTCTGACATTTTGAATTGAAAAAGCTTCCTGGATGGGAAGCGAAACGTCTTCAAACTTGGAAGCAAAGTCCAGTGGATTGTTTTTTTTTTTTTTTTAACTTGTTTGGAACGACTATGACCTGGATGACTGAGAATCTTCACCAGCATGTTTACTGATTCATTTTCACTGTCGTGTTAATGTTTAACAATGTGTATCTATACAGTAAATGTAGAGTAGAAAATGCAAAAATGGCGCAGTTGAAGGATTTTGCAGCTTACAGGAGCAGGATTTTTAGAAATGCACCTGATGGCGTATCAAACTGCTTCCACTTCCACTCTGCCAGCTGGTTTCTATGGACTATAACGTCCGAGTGTTACCTTCCCAAACTCAAAGTGTTCACTTTGACCTGAAGCATTGCATTCAGAGAATCACTGTGTCCCTCATCACTTCTCATCACCTCTGCCCTCCCTGTCTAATTTCCACACTGTCCCCTCTCCTTCATGTTCAAACTCTTTTCCCCCCTCTTTCTTTTCTGTCGTTTGGTTCGTGTTTCCCCCTCCGCCTGTCTTTTACTCTTTAGGTTCTGGAGATGCTGCAGCCGGTGGCTCCGGACTCGGCACCGGAGCAATTGTGGGAATCCTCATCGCTGTTTTCTTGTTGCTACTGGTTGCTGTGGATGTCACCTGCTATTTTCTCAACAAGTGTGGACTCCTCATGTGCATCGCTGTAAATGTCTGTGGGAAGGCTGGCCCAGGTGCAAAGAGCAAGGATATCGAAGAGGGAAAGGCAGCGTTCTCGTAAGTTTATTTGTGTTTCTAATTTGATTCAGTTGAGGATTTTTTCATTTTATTTTAGGGTCTGTAATATATGCACGGTTATAACCTGTTCTCAGCTCAGGAATTAGGACCCGTATGATATCTGGTTGTTCAATAGGTTTGCCTAAATAAAAGATTTACATATATATTCCTGCAAAAAGGGTCTGATGTTGCAGAGGCAGGTAATGAAAAGTGTTTGGAGCATGCTCTTATTCTGATGCCAGTTTGTTTCAGCCTTTATCCAGTCTCATGTAGAAGGGTTGCTCATATCACAGGTTATTTGCATTACAACAAGGTCAGGCCCCGTCCACACGAAGTCAAACCCTGGCCTAAACGCACAAATTTTTCACCAAACCAGCCTCTCATCCATACGAAGCCGGCGTTTCGGGGTCTGAAAAAGATCTTTTTTTTATTAAGCCTTCAGAGTGTGACGATTTTGAAACGCCATTTTCGCGTTTCCATCTTTAA